TATTTCCCACAACAAACAGGAGATGTTTATGATGAAGTCAAATGGGCAAATCTTTTCCTTCCTAAAGAAGAAATTTGAAAATATACTAAAGAGAATATACATGTTTGTGCTGTCACCCCTCCCCATTAATATTAGCTCTCAAGCTATGGAATAATGCCAATTAATTTTAATTTCTAATAAATTAAATTTCACTTCCAAGAAAGGAAGGTCATACAAGTTACCTGCATGAAGTTATCTGCCAGGTTTTTGCTCATTTTTTGGCAGGGCCTGGGGAAGAGTACAGTTAAAAGGTTTCCAATTAAAATGCTGCACCTCTGATTTCAAAGCAGCCTGTTAAGGTTGCTGATGTCATGTCAAAGCAGTTGCTTTGCGCTCCTAAGTGCTTACACTAGAAACAAATGAAAACTTCTAAAGATTTTATAGATTACCAGATCATGGTTAGAAAGCAAATGTAAAGGATGCATCAGTCTCCTTTTGCTCCTGTCTGTTTAAGCTGACAGGAGAGATTGCGGACCATGTCTCCATGGAAACTATTTCCTCAGCAGGCAAAGAGCTGAAAACTGCATCTCTCACTTAAAACCTTCATTTGTCAAGGGAAGAATCTTTTGAAGTAGTGTGGTATGTCAATCCCACATGGGGATATGAGATTCTCAAATGTCTTTGACAGCTAACATCTTATTAATATATTGCACGATATATGTCGGTTCTACTGATGTTCTACTGATTTCAGAAACATGATAATTTTAAATTGGTTGTTTTAATCAATTATAACTTTAACAGAATGTGATGTTTCATGGAGGGAAATGATTCTCTGTTACAAAATGAGGTTCACTTAGATTTTGATGCAGACATTTCAAAAGAAAAGGGTAGGAATGTTAAAGGAAAACCAAGCATGGACTAAAGCCCTTGGTCTAATCCGCGGTTCTTATCGCATCAGTTCTGCAGAAATTGGATGGTAAAGGTTTTCATGGCACAGGGACGAAAGCTTTATCCCCTGCTGATGTCTGCATATTAGAAAGTTGATCCTGTTCTGTTTACTGAAACTTTTCAGTTCAGTTTATAGCACCTCAGTGGGTATCCATCTCTCTCTCACACACACGCATAGAGTACAAATTAGATTAAAAACCTAAGACTTCAGCTGTAGGCATAGTGGTTTATGAATCAGTGTTAAGATTTGTCTTTTATTACAGCAGAAGTCAAAGGAAGACATACAATACACATTGAAAATGAAAGTAGTGCAGTTGACAGAGCCAGCAGTAAAATAGTAGGGTTTTTTTTCCCTTATAAATAACTACATGGATTGTCTAAGGGGTTGATTAAATGGTTGTTTCCTTCTTTATTTCTTGTATTTAAATCAGTAGACAATTGATGGGAAATTGTGGCCTTCTAGCAGTTCTAGACAACAGGACTCATGGTGAGAGATCCTGGAAATTATGGTATAGCTACATTTGGAGGTTCATATCCTCTCATCTTCACTATAGGTTGAAGTAGAACCAGGGGTGGGATTCTATAGGTTCACACCTATCCGCTAGAACCAGTTGTTAACATTCTAAGCAGTTTGGAGAACCGGTTGTTAGAAGAAATTACTGGCCTAATCCTGTAAGGAAGGCAGGAAGGAAACATTCTGGTGTTGCTTACATAAACTGCCTCTCCATTAACCCTTATTATGTTTTTGGCAGGACTAGACTTCCTGTCTCAGGAACTTCTCTGGAGTTTTTTTCCCCTTCTTTGCTGGTACTTTGCTTGTGTGGAGTGAGCATTCAAAGTTACAACAGCACTGAAAAAAGTGACTTATGACCATTTTTCATACTTATAACTGTTGCAGCATCCCCACAGTCATGAGAGGCCAGGCGAGGAGATGCATGCCTCAATGTGAGTGATATTGAGTTGGCCACGCCCAGCCAATAACATGACCACCAAGCCACACCCACCAACTAAGCCATGCCCACAGAACCGGTTGTTAAAAAATTTGAATCCCATCCCTGAGTAGAACATTCTTTTACCACATGGCATGCAAGCTAATAGTTAAACTAATAAAAAAAAAACCTTAAGCAAAATAGTACAATGTGAGAATCTAACCTAAAATATCAAAAATCTACAGTTCTGTAAATCTCTGGGTTAGATGGTTAGATATTGAACTTCTAGCAAAAATGGAAGCTGAGAGAGACAAGAAAGTAGTTGGTAACAGCTGCATTCACAAGGTTTATATCTGACAGACTTTCCAGACAGCTCTTGCATCAACTAGATTTTCTGAATCTAATTAAAATGCAATTGAGATTGATCCTGGCTGTCTTGATTTAGTTTCATTTCTATACGAACACAGGGTTGCTATGAGCATAGATCTGTTTATATTTTTGCAAATATGTTGGGTTCACAGAGACTCCACAGACAAACAATGCTTCCTTGCCAGCTTTCCGTATAGCAACTGAGTACTTTGTCCTTCCTCCATCAAGATTGGCTGTACAGTCATCTTCTTTGGGGGGGAGGTAAAAAAAGAGAACGAGAGAGAGAGAGAGAGAGAGAGGGAGGGAGGGAGGGAGGGAGGGAGGGAGAGAGAGTGAGAGAGAGAGAGAGAGAGAGAGAGAGAGAGAATTCCCCAGGCTTCTGTGCTTGCCAAGATATTCAAACTGCTGTGGGTTTCAAAAGCTGTCACCACTGATATGCTGGAAGTTTGGCATTTGAGCTACTGTGTTTTTAGTGCCATCAGATTTTATTCTTACATGTTAAATTGGAAACTTACATTTCAATATTCCAGTTATTGTCTTTTCAGCATATCCTCAGGCAGCCCTTTTAATGCATTTTATCTGTATTTTTCTTTAGTAATGGCATTTATGAAGTAGCTTTCTTACAGTATGATTAGGGTTTTTGGTATTGCTAGACTTTCTTAGCATTCTCATCATGAGTTATTGATTAACATTTTTTTCCTTGTTACTTGTTCTGTGCATATGTTGATACACCATTTGTTTCTCAAACTGAAAAAAAATGTTTGCTCTTTTCTTTATAGGCTTGCCAAAATTTGAAACCAAATCACCATTTCATCTTGGATGTAGATGATACAAAATCATACGGATTTGTTATACTATCATAATTCTGAGCGTTCTGTAGTAATACGTACAATACCTTTGACATGTTTCTTAAATCACAAATATGAGCTAGAGAACTCCTAAAATATGATTTTAGAGTTCTTCAAATTGGGTGGCCTAACTGATCACTGTTGAATACAATTTTATTCCAACAGCAACAACAACAACATAATTATTAAAACAAATCAAGTTGATATTACCGGAACAGCAAAAGTGATAATTGAGAACGTATTAAGAGTATATCTTTTCATTTGAGATAGTATTTTGCATGATTCAGGTTTTAATTTTAGATATTTTTTCAAGATAAAAAAAATGGCACACACATGGTGGTTGGTCTAAGACTAAAATCCTTATACTAACTGCCCTATAATGTGTCACCCCAAGGATGTATTCAGAACTAACCAATCACTAACTTCTTCAGGGCAAGGAGTTCAAACAGGTGGCAAACGCACAACTTATATCCATAACAAACCAACTTCTAACTTCGTACTGAGACTGTTGTAACAGCACTGCTAGAAAAGATACAGGAGATAAAACCTTGTTCTTCTTGAACCCTATGTATATTTAGATAGGTGGTAGATGTAGTAGTTTTGCTTCAGTCTGCAAAACTTGCTGAGAATGCAGTTTTGTCAATTACTGCTTTCCTAATAGCATCTTTCTTATGAAGCTCCTGCCAAGTTTTATCTTGTCTATGATTTTGATGAACCATAAGAGGTGTCAAGAAAGATCATTCAAACATTTGTAGTGATGTGTCATTGGTATTTTCTGTTTCTTCTTGTCACTTAAGGCACATGAATTAGAGCTATGCCAGTGGTAATGTTTCTCCTATTGGGATGATATTTTGTTAATCTTCTGGTTAATTTTATGCAAATCTCAAAAATGGGTCTTGTATTTGAGGATTGCTGTAGGTAATAAAAAGTGCAGTTTCTAGACTTAATTTTTTTTGGAACATGTTCTGTCAGCTGTGGGGAAAAATTACAGGACTATTTTAAAGTGTTTAAACTGTTTGAGATAACAATCACTTAAACATATGCACACACCCATTACAAAATTGCCTGGATGTTGAATTTACCTGGTGATGTTTTGCTTTAGGTCCTTTCACTGTCAAATGGAACAGATATTTTCAGAGCAGCTGCTTTATCTGACAAAATTTTAAAAAAATGGTCCAATTATCTTTAAGGAACCTGTGTATGACCTAAACCCACATATAACGTTACAGATGCGCTCATATATGTATCCTGTTACTTTCATTTTATTTTTCTTTCATGGATTAATAGTTTTAATATATTGTAAGCTGTCATGGGATAATTTGGAAAGAATAGTGTAATATTTGTCTCTCACACAAGAGGCACATTATGTCTGCCGTTTTCACATATGAAATAGGACTGGGGATGTGCACAGAGGTGGGATGCTGTCAGTGTAACAACCAGTTTGCTAATCATGTGCTTCACGAACTGGTCCAAACTGGGAGAATCCCACTCCTGGATGTGCATTAAAGTGGTGAAAAGTCCAGAAAAGCTGAAGTTTCAGCCCACACTTGAGTTCCTTTGCTATAATTAATCCAGGCCTTTCATTCAACCTGGCCAAGAACTTCAAGAATCAGAGTGGGACTGAGGAGAAAAAGAGTGGGTGGTAATAGACAATTAAACAGGAATAAATATTCTTTTAGTAAATGATTTGACTTTCATAATTGAACATGAACAATGAAAGAACATTGTTAATCCCTATCTTGTGTACTGTAGTTTACCATAAATCAGCAAATATGCTACATGTTCATTTCAGTGTGTATCATCATTTTGATTTTCCTTGTAAGTTGATGTCGATGTTGATTTCAGTAGAAAATGATTGTCTTTCAATGGGAATATCAGATTGTATTTGATTTTGTGAACAAATAATCATTATGTTTCTGAATATTAGGGTGTGGAATGGCGTTGTGATGAGACTACTAAAAAAGCTTGTTATAGCAAAGGCAAATCAACGGTAAGTCCTTAATTAGTTTTCTCTGTCTTAAATGGGGCTATTTCTTTTTTTTCTCTTGATGTCTTGGATGTGGTAAAACTGCATCGATATTACATGTAATAGTTATTCCCAATATTTTGCCTTCTGGATTTAGTATGATTTCTGGATGTTTATTGTGAATTTTCATGCCAAGAGTACTCTGATGGATAGACTGCACAATGCAGGTTTTTCGAGGGAAAAAAGAACAAAAACAGAAACATTCCTGTAGAATAGAAGAAAGGTTACAGGTTTTTTTTAAGACTGAAAAAAAAACAAGCCAACTGAAAATGGAACTCAAGTATATTAGTAATAGGGCTAATATCCAGCTCCTAATACCCCTGTGTAATCACTGACATTATCTGAAATTCTGGAGTGTGGTGGCTCATAACATTAGGACTAATGATTGGCAGGCTTGCATTTGAGACCTGATTCCTGCCACAGGAGGGGGTGAGCTCCCATCACACACTCCAGGTCCTGCCATCCCAGTATTTGAAAGCAGGTGATTGTGGGTAGATAGATGGGTACCATTTCGGTAGTGCAACTTAACAGGGAGCTGAAAGGAGGCCCCCCAACTGGGCAGCCCCTGGACAACAGTGATATCACTGTTCAATCCTTTCAACGCAGAAGTGGTCCTGGCACAAATGTAGTTGTAATCTGAAGTTTACAAGCTCACTCTAAAATCTGAAGTTTTCCATTTTCCATAAAAATTGGGCTGATTGAATAAAAGTGTGTAAATAATCAAAGTGAAAACTTTCTGAAAATTTAACATCCCATTCTAAGCTGTTCCAGCTTCCTCAGAAATGTTCCAACTTTGAAACAAGTTATTCTGACTTTACTGAAAGACATCTAATCTTGAAATGTATATCAAAGGAAGGCATTTCTGCAGTATTATTTGATGGCTTGTTAGGGTTGGTTCATATATCATCTTTGTGTTTATAGAAAGAATATATAAAAAATAAAAGAATATATAAAAAAGAAAAAGCTGAATTAAAGAATTAAAGGGCCTGAATTCTAAATAGTTACAAAATTTGTGTAGTACAATAAATGGAGAGGATTATTTTTCAACTTTTGTACTATGTTTTTCAATTTTTGTATTACTTTATCAAAATAGAAAATACAAAGACAAATGAAAATTGTGGGAGGAAAAAGGGAAGAGAAAAAAGTGTAAAGTAAAAGGCAAAAAAAGAAAGAAGGCATTGACTTCCAAATCTTTTTAGCACAGTAGAATAAGATAATATCATACAGCCTTAACTTTTTACTTTTACATAATAATATACACTAGCCATTTCTATAATAACAAACCTATCTTATCAGCAAAACCTAATGTCAATGTTTCATTTTGTTCACCTCAAACACAAAGTTCAGAAGTGGTTTCCAAGTGGAAACAAAGTTAGCTGTATTCTTTTTTTTATTAAGGCAGTCAATTTAGCCATCTCTGCTAATTCCATCAGTTTTTGCAGTAATTAAAATATCTTTCCATTTTTGTACATAGTGATTCTTTCTACCATCAGCATATATATCAACTAAGTTCCAAATTTTTGTTCATGTTCTTTGTCCATTAAGCCTAAAAGAAAACTTTCTGGCTTTATCTTTATATTCCCTTCAAGAATCTTCTTTCGAATGAAAAATTAATTTTTGACAACTTTTAAAATTCAATTTTATCTCCTTCTATATTTTACCATAATTTTTTTTGTAAAGCTTAGTAAGAGTCACTTTAAGAATCTTCTGTTTAAAATGTAAATCTTACTCCAATTTTTTTTTTGCTTTGTCTCAAGTCCATCAGAGATGGTAAAAAATTCCTTCTTCACATTTATATTACCAACATGCATTTGTAGTATCTTTATACATTTTTTACATTTAATGTAAATCTGAAAGCCTTTGTAATAAATGAAGTGGTTTACAGTAGCATCAGACAACAAAACATAGTTTTTCTATAGAAGTCCACACAAACACTTACTGCACAATGAACATTGCTGTAATCTATAATCAGCAGCTGTTGTAATAAGTATATATGTTGATGTATTAGTACTTACAGAACACATTGATGGATTGTGTTGCTGTCATTAGGAATTAATTGTAAATAAAATTTGACTTTATACAAGTTTCTTAATATGTATCATTGTACTAATAATATACTTTGCTTTGGCAGGAAGAGTGCCAGAATTATATCCGTGTTCTCCTGATTGGTGGAGATAGACTATTTGCATGCGGAACTAATGCATTTACACCCATTTGCACCAATCGGACGGTAAGAATATGAGTGGATCTACACTACAATCCTGTAGGTTTTATAATTCAATAAGACAGAAGTGGAGGAAGACTTCTATGATTGTGGAATTTCTTGTACAAATACAAATAAATTGGATACTCTCCATTATGCACTTGGTGGCCATCTATCAACTGCAATGTATAATGCATAATTTCCAGTATTTCATCCATTCTATAATTACCAATATTATATCAACAGAGACTTGAGCATGTTATTACCACATATTATATTATTAATCATAAATATTATTAATGGCTGAGGAAAAAATGGCAAAGGGAACTGGGAGTTTCTTTGTTGATTACATTTGGAATGAGAAACTCTCTGGTCTGCCATGGTCTCTTTCATGGAGTCTGATCTACAGCTGATCTGAGATTAGAAATTTCCTCAGTCTTGTAAGGCTTTAAAATAGCCCAATCTGAATATCTGAGACTGTTTTAAGCATTCTGGCCATGGGGGACTTTTCAAAGAGGAATTACACTGGAAAATGAAAGGTTCTGCTGCCCAACCTTACAATATTGGTAAGGAGCACCTATCATTTATAATAAAGCTTCAAAATAAGCTTAATTTATGACTGTTCGGGCTATTTTTAAGCCCTATTGTGATATAGGTGGCATTTTCAAGAAGAGGGAACTACCAGAAATGGAAAAACTTAGTCTTCGTAAAACTGTGATTTTCTCTCAAATGTTTGGTACCATATCCTGCAATACTTGAACACTGCTAGATTGGTTTACTGGTGCTGTGATACAATATGTATTCATGTTGTGGATTAACTGAATGAGTCTGTATATGATAGAAGGAGTGAATGGATTCACATAATAAAATAATATTTTTCAATATTTTGTAAAGTTTGGTTGGAATTCTGTTGACCGAGTTTCTGCAGTGGAAGCAAGGAGGAAGGAATTACCTTTCCTCTCAACTCCACGTGTTCTTCCATACCTGAATAAATATGCATATTTTGAACAGTGAATATGTTGTAAAGGTCATCTATATAATGGACATTGTGAATAGTAATCTGTATAGGGTGAATGAGATCAAGTGTACTGTAAGTATGTAACCCTTTATTGAACTTGAAGTCTCTAAACTAGTAAGGTCTATATTAATAAGAATGTAATTTAAGATATCATGTTTAATTCTTCACATTAAAAGTCAGTTTTTTCTTCCAGTTATTTGTGTGCATATGTCTATGTTTATATTTAATATAAGAATAGAGTTATGTAATAATTAATTCACCGTTGATATGGGGAAAAATGGAAGGAGTTCCTGAACCAAAAGCAGGACACATGTACAAATAAATTCTTCAGTTTATGTTCAAGATTTGTGGGTTTCATATTCTTTAATGCAGTTTGTAATAATTCTTCCTCTCCCCAATATTCTGATGAAGCTGAGTAACCTGGAGGAGACACATGATCAGATCAGTGGTATGGCACGCTGTCCTTATAGCCCCCAGCACAATTCTACAGCTCTCCTGGCAAGCACTGGTGAATTATATGCAGCAACTGTCATGGACTTTCCAGGGAGAGATCCTGCAATTTATCGCAGTTTGGGTATTCTTCCTCCACTTCGGACTGCACAGTACAACTCTAAGTGGCTCAATGGTGAGTATATGGAAGAGACATTTTATTTGTTGGGAAATGCTTTCAATTAATTCATTTTGAAGGAAAAAGCTTCATTCTTACAACTTAATGCTGCTTTGTCCACAGCCTCTTCACATATGGAATAATGACTTCTTAGATGTCATTAGTGCAGGATTAAAGTTGGTCATGTTAGATGAAATTGGGGCATGGGGAGAAATAAAGAAAAGATATAAAAGAACAGAGTGTTAATTGTGAAAATATAAGAGCATATGTTTATTTAGTTCTTAATACAAGTAGCCCTCAATCAGCAACCACTCGTTCAGTGCTTGTTCAAAGTTACAGCAATGCTGAATGTGAAGAGTTACAAGCACCCATCCTAATTGCAGCTATTGTAGCATCCCTACAGTCACATCTTCGCAATTTGAGTGCTTGGCAACTTGCTTGCAGTTGAAATAGCTCAGCGTGATCAGGTGATAGCCATTTACCACCTTCGTTGCTGACTTTCAACAAGCTGAGTCAATTGTGAAGCCAGCAGGAGATTGCAAATGGTGATACCATGTCAAATAATCACATGAGGTTCACCTAACAATGGCAACTAGATTGGCCCAAACTGCCATTGTACATGCAGTCATATTAAGTCAGTGCAGTCCCATGATGTTCCAGTTTACAACTACATTGCTTAACAATGGAGTTCCCAATCTGAATGACCACAGTTCACCAAGGAGTCCATAACTGGACTCCAGTTACTCCTGTAACTGTAATTAAAAAGATCATTGGTAGTTTTTGGACAGTTACTACAGTATATATGTATTACTAAATTATTGAGCTTTATCCTGGTATTATTTGAATGAACATAATCTTGGCAGGAGAAAGGAAGTCAGACTAAAATTGACAGAAGTAAGTGGACATGAATGGAAATTTCAAAAAATGTTACATAAAAATTTGGATTTAAGGAAAATATTGGCGGGGGGCGGGGGGGCAAAATCAGTAGCCTGTTGCATGAATCCTAGGTACATCCTAAAGAAATAAGGGTGTATAGATGGATTGAGTTGATTTAGGGAGCAAATTTATTTTCCTCTATTTTTTCCCAAAAATATATTCCAGAACCAAATTTTGTATCTTCATATGACATCGGAAACTTCATCTACTTTTTCTTCCGAGAGAATGCAGTGGAACATGACTGTGGGAAAGTAGTTTTTTCTCGGGCCGCTCGAGTTTGTAAGAATGACATTGGTGGCAGATTTTTGCTGGAAGATACTTGGACCACCTTCATGAAAGCTCGTTTGAATTGCTCCCACCCTGGAGAAATTCCATTTTACTACAATGAATTACAGAGTACGTTCTTCCTGCCAGAACTGGAATTAGTCTACGGGATCTTTACCACTAATGTGTATGTAGTTTATGTAGTATTTTCTTTCTAGAACATTCAAAATTAACTTGAGGAGGAGGTCTATTTATATCCAGGAATGGGCAATCTTGAAAACAAACCCATACTGAAAAAAATCTAAGATAAAGATTTTGGTAGAAAATGATTGCATATTTATCACTTTTAGAAGGGTATATCACTAACAGCTAGATGAATGTGAATTTTTCAAACCTAAAAGCTTTCCTTGTTTGAATTTTTAATTTAATAAGATGGTAGCAATTGGCAAAAATGGAGACTATTATATACTCAAATGTTTGTATCAGCCACATTAATGAATTAATTTTCAAAGATAACAGCTCCATTAGTAAACGTGGTTTATTTTTTAAAAAATATACAAAGGAGTTATGAAAACATGCCTTGTATTACAGCATGTTTTCTTAACTATGAATTGTTCAACTGGAGATGAGAGATCTTGTGAAGCAGTGGTCCCCAATCTTTGCTGCTTGGCAGCCCGACTGAGGGGTGGAGCGGGGAACCGGGCTATGTGAATGGCGGGCTGACACACATGCACATGAAGCTCCACTCACAGAAGAGAGAAGAAAAGCCTTTGGGGGTGTTGCTCGCAGGACCTGGTTGCGAATAGGCCACGGCCTGGTAGGGGATCCCTACTATGAAGTATTGTTTTGATCACACAATGAAAATGCATGCCAGAAAGAACCTGGTCCATTCAAGAAAGGTAGTTGAATCTGGATGAAAGCTATGATGGAGTAAATCTTGTCATAATCATATGAACAGTTAGCTTCTGGAGGCACATTGCAAGGCCTTTTCTCTTACAAGCCATTTCTTAGATATCTGAACAGCCAGATCTTACTAAGATATGTAAATGTAATGACTAATATGTTAAACTTAATGCAACAATCAATTGGAAACCAATGGAGTCACTGTAAATTGATAGTTTCCTGATTCAAATGACAGCAAATTCCCTGATTATTTTGGTAGTTTCAAAGGTATTCTATAGTATTCTCCAAACTTGGCAACTTTAAGACTTGTGGACTTCAACTCCCAGAATTCCTCAGCCAGCTAAGCTGGCTGAGGAATTCTGGGAATTGAAGTCCACAAGTCTTAAAGTTGCCAAGTTTGGAGACCCCTGCTATAGTATGTTTATTTCCTTCTGACCATCTGACCATTTTAAAGTCAGATTTTTTTTTCTACTGCCACTATCTCCTTCCTAGGGCTGAGAGAGATAGACTGTCCCAAGGTCACCTAGCTAGCTTCTGTCTCATGTGGGACTAGAACTCTCAATTTCTAGCCTGGTGCTTTAACCACTACCCCAAACTGGCTCTATTTTTATTTCTTTACTTTCTTTATGGTTGGATGTCTATTTCTATATATCTGTCTATTTGTTGTGTGTCTGTATCTAAATATAAACTTATTCCATAATTCAGTTTGATTTTATGCATTGCATGACTGATAGTCCACATATTACAAACAATATAATTTCTAGAGAGCTCGCTACCGTTGTGTATTGCAGCAAAAGATTAATAATTGTAAGATTCATAATGATTGTAATATGCATTTATAGCCACAGAAATGAATCAAATAGCATCTTTGTCTTATTGCCCTTTCACTTTTCTATGGTCTGACAAAGACACCTTGAAATATAGCTGAAGCAAATCTTGGGGAAGGAGTTCTTGGAATTTAAGTTATTCTGACTTTGTATAAATTGAATAAGTTATTACTCCCAAATCTATAAGGTGGCTTTCCAGCATTTGAAGGTTTCAGCTTATGAAGAGGAGAGGAATACATTTCTGTAAGTGGAGGGAATCTCCCAAATACATTTAACTGCACATTTTTAGAGATCTTATGCAGACTCTCAGCTCTAAAATCTGACTTCTGCAAAGCATGCACAATGTACACTATAAAGGGAAAATAATACTGGTATTTGAAACTGTCAAATGGGAACAAGTGCTGGGACTATTATTTGGGTTAGCAGAATACAGGATGCCTGTATTGGCAGGATACAAAGTGAATTAATTAAATAATTTTAACAGACTGTTCTCTAGGAAACAATATGGAATTGGGTGCCCAGTGTATTATCTGAATAATTACTTTTCCAAAGTTCTTTCTGTGAAGCACTGAGTTAGGAGTAAATGTACATTTTCTATAGGCATATATGTGGCAATTTTGTCTAGAATTAATTAAAATATTTATTAAGTCTTTTAGCTTTTATCTGTTTCCTTCTTTAAGATAAAAATAGTTTTGTTATTTCATTCCAGGAATAACAAAATAGAACAAAATTCACTCAGCTACTTTAATTCTACATTTAATATCTTTTACCTTACTTTAGCTAAATGTTTCATGAGTATTATTAAAACTTCACACTCAACCTGCTATGTTGCTGAATTAAATCTACCTACACCTTTATCACTAAATTAGCTTGTCATTTGCTCTTGTTTCATAGCTGTTCAGTGTGTTGAATTCTTGCTTAGCTGATCAGCTTATTACTATGTAGTGTATTCCCTTTGAATAACTAGGGTTTTAGCATAAATGATCCTATACACTTAAACATTTATTTAAGAATCAGGTATATTGCTCTGTCACAAAAGAGATACTGCTGTCTAGTAACATAAGGGATCTGTGAACATGTACTCAGTTTCCAGCATGAGCAAATTCCAGATGTGTGAGCTTCCAGAATTCCCCAGCCAGCATGGATGTTGCTAAGAATTTGGGGAACTGACACTTGCACATCTGGAGGATATCAAGATTGGGAAATGCTGATCCTAGGTAATTTGCAAATAATTTGAGAATGAAAGATATAATTCTTACTGCTTGCATATATTAATGATTGTTAAACAGAAGAGCGTTTATCCTTGCTTATTTTCATGATAATGGGTTTTGTTTCTTGCCCAAATATGTGTAGCAAGATTTTAGATCACCACTTTTCTGTTTAGTTACCTCAACTAATCAACTGGTAATTAGTTTATTCTTCAAGGAATAAATATCTACATGTTGTAGCAATACTTTTTTTTTTAAAGCTAAGCTATTTTAGGAAAGGGTACAATGTTGGAGATTTTTATTGTAGCATTCAAAACAAAGTAATGTATGTGATAAGAACTGAATAGTAATTGCATAATATATAATTTATATATAGTCTCAGGTACCATGAGATTGTTAATTATAAAATAACGTTAAACTACAAAGAAACCTTTCTCAACTTGGTGCCTCCAGAGATGTTGCTCTAGATCTTACAGGACTATCATTCTAGAAAATTCTAACTTAATAACCATGCTCCATAGTTAACATCTATTCTGAGGTGAGATGCAAAGAATTATAAGTGTTATAGAAAATTTTCACTGGCTGTATAAAATAATCTGTTTTCTCTGTGTTTTTTTAAAGGAACAGCGTAGCTGTTTCAGCTGTTTGTGTGTTCAACATGACTGCCATAATTCAGGTCTTTAGTGGGCAATTCAAATACCAAGAAAACTCTCGTTCTGCCTGGCTTCCTTATCCCAACCCTAATCCTAATTTTCAGGTAGTTGAAAATAAAAATTCATGTTGATCAAATTGCACTCACAGTTTTAGGAAGTTAAAATATTTGTAGTCACAAGGGATCAATAGAGAAATAAATAAACATGGCAAAAATAATAAAGACCCCAGATATCCTGAATTTAATATTTAACTGACAGCTTTCAGTCCATGGTTATGATGATATAAGTTGCAAGCTGATAACATTGGGAGAGCAACACATTGTCCATTGAACTGGGATATTTTTGGTTCCTCTTGGAAATGTCTGTATTCATCTATCCTACCCTACATAAGGAGTGAATTCCACATTCTGCTACTCCTAAAAACTCATCATTCTGTTTTCATTGCTTAGATTCTTTTTGTTCTTAGATATGACCCTAGACATAAACTGTAAACTGTACAATATATGAGGAAATGAGCTTTCAGTTTTCTTGTCCTAAACTATTTATGGTTTAATAGGAAGATTCAACACTTTAAATTGCACTACAAACAAACGGAAAACTTATGTAGAACAGGTATTAGGATGGTGTGGCACCAATAAGCACAATCTGGTTAAGAATTTTACAGCAACTTTAGTTGAAAAACACTCTGTGGGGGCGGTTCCTATGATGTGTGCTATATTAATTTACCAAGGAAGGACTAAGGACTAAGCATGGATCACTGTTGCCAGATCAGCTTCCTCCAGGAGATAGAACTAGAGCATCAAGTAAAATTGAGCAAAAGAAAAACTTCTCACAATTGCCATCTTGGCTTCCAGAAACAAAGTTGGATCTACACCCTCCTTTATAATTTTGTACTCATTTGAAGCAGAAAAGCTTGAGGGCTAGAATACAGCAGCTTAATTATAATCCTGATAACCTAATTTTGGGGAGGAGTTTCATTGGGAAAAGTAGATGCATAGTGAAGCCCTCACAGAAAAACAGAGCCTATCAGGCATGAAATACCAAGACCACACGTGAAGTTCCAATTAAATTGATTTATTACTACTCATGCCTAAGTATAGGAATTTACTCATCTAATAGCACTGTTGTGGAGCTTGATAAGGGTCAACAGAATTCAAGTGGGGTTGCACTTAGTCCATTTGTGGCCACATAGAGACTCTATGCTGATTTCTTTTTTGACTCGGTCCATTGGATCTGCTGTTCCTTCTCTTACAGAGCCTGAGGCTCCTTTTATAATTATAATTATAATTACAACTGAGGCTGAGGTCTGCTTTGTGCTTTTGAGTTCCAAGTCTTGCTGGGATGGACAGGATGGACAGAAAACCAACACAATCTGGAGGACTATGTGCTATGTACTTCTTGTTTGTGATATGAGTGTTTAAGGATCAAAACATCACATACCTATTATTTCTTTTTTGAGATATCTTCAATGCAACATATTTGTATGTGTGGAAATTTATAGAGTATATATCAAAGGTGTCAAACTCAATTTCATTGAGTGCCACATAAGGGTTGTGTTTGATCTTGTGGCCAGGATGGGCACGGCCAGCTTGACGTCACTTGTGTCAGTGGCACTTGTGGTGGCCCAAACGCTCTGCCAGCCAAAATGGGCTCCTGAGCTCCGTTTTTGGCTGCCACAGCCCCTTACAACCCTCTGCCAGCAAAAACGGAGCTCCATTTTCACTGGCAGAAGCACCATGGGCCAGATTCGCTGTTTCCAAGGTGCCCTGCGGGTCAGATCTGGCCTTGAGTTTGACACCCTGGTATATATGGATAATCTGCTAATGAGGAAAAAGATTGAAGTATATTACATAGCTGGATGACCAGTCAGTTGTGCACAGTTTATTATAAGAGTTAGCCTTTAGATTGTTATAATTTGGGATCTCACAATACATACACTATATGTCTTAAGTTCTAAAAATCTTGAATGGATGTAAACAGCATTATATGTATATATTTTCAGTGTGGCACCATGGATCAAGGCCTGTATTTGAATCTGACAGAGAGGAATCTCCAAGATGCCCAAAAATTCATTTTGATGCATGAAGTGATCCAACCGATCACACCAGTTCCTTACTTCATGGAAGACAATAGCCGCTTTTCTCATGTGGTTGTGGATGTGGTACAAGGAAAAGAAATGCTTTTTCATATAATCTATTTGGCCACAGGTAAATTTTTTCTTTATTTCTAACATGCATAGATTATTCAGTAATTTGTTAGCTGAGATTTTTTTTTAAAAAAAACCTAAAGTACAAAAAGCACTTTAAAACACCAGTGGTAAAATAACAAATCTAACAGCAAGGGGAAAATAATGGTATATACAATAATAAAGAAGTAAACATATCAACAGATATTTTTAATTGAACTGATACTAAGTTATCCGTCCAGCCAGCCATTAATCCACATGCATGGATTTATCCAACTATCCATGAGATTTGCTTTATTAGAGAAAAAAAATAGTTTAACATTTATAGTTTGTTTGCCAATCATTTTTATGAATTGGAAGTTAAAATGAAAGACCTATGGGTTCTTCTTAGAAATTTAGAAAAACATGTTTGATGTTCAGCTCTATTTCTAAGGAAATTTCTAAGAAAATGCAGTATTTAGGGACTTCATAGATTTAAAAGATGTAACAATTAAAGCAAGTTTAAAAATTCATATAAACTTGATAAATAATTCCTATATTTATGTCTTATCTGTAGGAATAAAAGTTTTGACTTAAATACCTGAGTAGTTTTGTTGGACATTGCTTTAGTTAGAAATGTTAATATCTAATTATAGTACCTGTGCTTAATTAGACTGTGACTTCTGTTGCAAAATATTGGAATGGCTGAGAAAGGGAAAACAAATGTGTGTTTTCCCCATTGAGAGTTATTAAAGCTACTTGCATGTTAAACCTACTTGTCAAACTTTTGTACATTAAGTGAATTAGTGGCAATTACTCCATGCAAGTAAGCTGAATTCTGTTCATGGATTAACATATTCTTTCTTGTTTTTTGGTCATCCTTCCATCCTCACAATCTATTTTGTGGCTTCAAGACCCTTATATATGTAGTATGGTACCATTTTTTTTAAAATGAAAGCTGTTAATGATGAAAGTCAGCAAATCTTTCCTGAATGCCACTGGTTATACACAATTGTCTATTGGGATCCAAGCTGATATGACCATCTGTATTTTAAGAAAAGTAATAAAAAGAAAAGAACATTTCTGTTTCAACTCTTCATTCCCCTGTTAATGTTACTGGATTTCCAAACAATCATTGTACTTAAGCTGAATTTGATATTTTTGCTAAAAGGATTGGCAAGAGAAACTGAAGAGTAATAACTTCATGATATGATTTCTAGCATGGGAGTATAGACGTGTTTAATGTTTAAAAAATACAATGATTTATTTATTTCACAATGTAATTTTTCGTTGAGGAATATGGATCTCCAAGCCCACTTATAAAATAATAAAAATGGAGTAAGTTAGAATGGGATGACTGAATTGCTTTGTTTATAAAATAATGTTCATCCTACAATCATCAGTTCATGAAGGCAGAAATATGACATTTAATATAAATGTGAGATATAAGAAACAGGATATAGTATTTATAATTAGAACTGGTGTTAATTCATTTCCATATAATGAAACTACAGTATTTAAAATGTGTTGTACTTAGAATGAAGTTTTGATTCCATAGGTTAAGTATACACTGTTAAAAATCTAACAAACCTGAGAAGAATATAAAGCAAAACATGTGTATAGTATGATTAATCAATAAAAATTGGTTCATAAATCATCCTGAAAATATGTGAGTTTTGAAGACACTGAAATGTCAATATCTATTTTTTGCCTTCCATTTTATGTTTGAGTTAAAACTGGAAGAAAGTAATTAAACAACTAGTAGATGTCTCAGAATTATAGCAATGTACTTGAATGGAAATATTTTCAGAAGCAAATTTGTTATTAAATGTATGTCTTTTCACTTGACTATTATTTATAGGCAGCTCAAGGATTTTTAGTCCTTGTCCACTACTTTTTACTTGCTTGGTATGTTGTTTTAAAACTCATGATAAATGAAAATGGAATGGTTGGTACACAGTGTGTTTAGTCTGCAGGAGTTTCTTACATGAATTAATTTACAATGACCTCAACTTTCACACTGCAATTTGTTGAAAGCGGTATATTTATTATGCTGATATAAGGTGATGTATACTTACAGAGTATGATATTACTAGTTACGTTTCAGCCAGCAGCCAGTATATTTAAAAAATAAAAAGATAAATTGTTAATAATTAGCTATGTAATTTACTGTATCATATCTTCCTTTAAGATTTTAGATAAAATAAAGCATGTGCCAGATTGTGCTTTACTCTTGTGCCTTCCTCTGAATGACCATTTGGAATCCCATGAAGCTGAGAAAAAAAATCTCTGTTGTGAACGTGTATGTAGATTGGATCTAAATTCATATACAAGTCTGGATGTGTAGATGCAGGTGTTTCTAGTCTACGTGTGGCCTTCAGGCAGAATTAGAAATGAACGTTGAACTGTCAGAGCTCTGGAAGGACTCATAGCCTGCAGTTATTTATACTTTTGCATCTTATTTCTCAGTTATTTTACTTGTGCTATGTGAAACTACTCAATTAAGTACAATTTTGGAAGATTTCTGGAAAAAAAATCCAAGCTACTTGCAACATATAATCTGCTGTTTCGCTAATCTGTAGTTTTACATAAACTATCATTGTAATTACCTTTGGAATAGTGAGGTAATGTAGATATGTATTATTGCAAACTAGTCATACTACTACTTGATACTACTTCTTGTATCTCTATCTTTGTGTCTCTGATTCTTTGTACATGTGCATATAAACATGCTTGTCCCAAAGAGGCTTTTTACAAACGGCAACTGGACTTCCTTGATTTTTTTTTCTTTAGAAAAAGTTTACTAAACTGAAGAAACTTCTTGGGTAAGAGGTGAAATGTTTTCAAAGGAAAAAAAAAATCAAGAAAGTCCAGTTGCTTTTTGGCAAAAGCATTTTTGGGACAACCATCAACTGGATGATTAGAATCTCCATAGGCTGACTTCTTTAACCAGATTGTGAAAATTCCACAAATTGTAAAAGTTGCATATGCATGTAAGATAATAGATCCATACCTGCCAGCCTATCAACCCTTTAAATCTCTTAACTTGTTTTGGATTTAAAATTGTTATTAGACTTTTCACTACTGGAATGAAAACATGAACATACATTGATATTCATAATCATTCTATTCTTTTTTTGTGGTTAAATTTAATACATAGCCCAGAAAAAAGAATTAGAATAGTTAGCTAAAGTAATTTAAAGCAGGAGATAAGACAATAAAAAGTAATTATATCTTGTTTAAATCACACCGTCCATTATGTATTATTGCTTTTGCAAATCATCCTTATTTCCATCATATCTGTATGCTGATCCATATATTATATTTTGTTTTTTAAACTTCTCACCTTGTTCTTTTTCAGGACCTTATCAATCTGATCCAACAATAAATTTCTCTACCCTCTGCTTCCTCTTGTTCTGTTCACTCTTGTTTGCAGTTTGATACTTGTTCAATTTCTCAATAGAATCAAAGCATCTCAGTCTATTGTTTTCCCACTAGACAATGTATTTTTTCCATTGGCCATTTATTTTTGTATTCAGCTCATATTTATTCAGCCCCGAATTTATTCATTCGGCCCTGATTTTTCTTGTTTTACCACTCATAACTACCACCCATTTCTACTGCATACAAGTACTTTTTAATGTTCCTTCAATATTACTCAACACTTATTTTAGAAAATGGATAGCAGCAGTACTCATAGAATCAGGGATTTTTGCTTCTCATTAGAATCTTTCCTAGACCTTATGGAAAGGTATAAAAATTCATTCACTTTCTCTATTTTTTGTCATTTTTTGAAAAATTCATTTTACTTTGTGTATAATTTGAAAGTGTTTATATCCTGTTTTCTTTGTTACATTAATTTTCAAACCCATAATCCTTGTTGCACTATAAACACAAAGTTTGCAAACTGTTTGGGTTTTCTGCAACAATATGGCATCATTGCAGTCATAAGTATTCGTGTTCCCAACCATCACCTTCTACATCCACCACAAATATTCCATTCATCCGTTAAACAACTAAGGGATATCATAAATCTTGTTCTCATGTTCTGTTCAAGGATGTACTAGTTGCTAAGCAGTCCATTTATTTTCATGCATGGTTTATTTTCAATATATTACTGCATTTAGTGACCAACCTTCCACATCAAATATGAAACATTCCATATACCTCCTTATAAGATGCTTTCGCTAAATTAACCCTAACCCTAACCTCTTTTCCTCCTATTCATATGTTCAGCTTTTTCTCATTAAATAAAAAAAAATCTGATTGGCATGTTCTTGGCATAAAGCCACACTAGACTTCCCAAATTTTGCTCATTGTCTCTTATTGCTTCTATCAGATATTCTGAGAGATACTTAACAAATTCAATGTTTTGGGGTTTGGTTTTTCTACCTGTCCCAAATGTACAAGGTCAGGAATAGCACTCTTCCAAGTGCAGTCTTCATATGGACTTCAATAACAACAGCACTTAGACTTATATACCACTGTACAGTGCTTTATAGCCCTCTCTAAGCTGTTTCCAGAGTCAGCATATTGCCCCCAACAATCTGGGTCCTTATTTTACCCATCTCAGAAGGATGGAAGGCTGAGTCAACCTTAAGCCTGGTGAGATTCAATCTGCCAAATTATAGGCAGCCAGCAGCCAGTAGAAGTGGCTGGCAGTATGCACATTAACCAGTGCGCCACTGTGGCTCTTCAGATTATATAACTGTTATCTTATTTACTATATTTCAACATTTCCCGTTACAAAATCTAGACTTACAGCCTTATCATTTGAAAACAAAAACATTTATTATTTGTTTTTTGTGGAACATTAACATTTATAGCATTCATTTCAATTTCAGGTTTCAGTATATCACTATCATTCCCTTGCAGATCTCTAAAAAAAACCTTTTTATAGCACTTCTTCACTTAATATTTCATCTGAAACCATTTAATCATTTTTATTCTTAATTCCACTCATTCTGCTGGAGGCTGTTAATCCTTTTCACTGTCTTTAAAAACAATTTTCATTTTCATTAAAATATCTGCATTTTCTCTTCC